AATTAACATTCACTAAATACAAAGAAGAATTGCTATCTCTTGTAGAAGAACGAAATGAACTTATTGAACAACAAATAATTTCTTCAGCAGAACAGTAAGACTTCGGGATCAACCAACTCAGAGTTCAGTTCAGATCATATCGCAAAATCTATGCTAATAGTTCAGTTTCAATTTTGAATTTCAACCGCAAACTTTGCATGGAGATAGGTCTTAATGAGCATAGTCTTTTGTGATGATATTTAATTTTTCGATTAGAAGTAGAAAGTTACCGTTATCAGACAGTTTTGATTATATTAGAACTAGAACGACCTCTAGTAAAGCTTAAATCGTAATGATTCATTTATATTTCTTAAAATAATTAATTTTAGTCAACGTGAAAATGAACAATTGAAAAAGGCTATTGATCAAATACGAGAAAAATCAACTGAGCATGAACATGTAGAAATTCAAACAGATGAAGAGTGAGTAACTACAATTTTTTTCGATATTAAATTTTGTGTTTTTTAGTATTAAAGCTTTGTACGAAATAATTAAACAACAGTCTCAAGAACTTAATATACTAAATGAAAAAAATTCGCGTCTTATATCTCAAGATGAACTCGATAGACAAAAGTAAAATATTTCTTTAAAATTATCTTCTTGTTATTTTTTAACTGAACATTTTTTTTTAAAAATAATACAGGAAAGAAATCGAAGAACGATTAATTGAACGTGAAAATCAGATTGATAATATTATGCAAGAACATACAAAACTTCTAGAAGAAATAGAGAAAAATGCTTCAACAATTATTCCAAAAACAGATAACGAAACTCAAACAGTTGATCATCAACATGAGAAATTATTCCAAATGAATAATAAATTAAAACGAGCATTACAAACAATAAAAGACAAAATCCATCGAATTGTAAATGAAAGACCAGATCTATTCAATGGCATTAGTGAAGAGACAAATGAACGTCTGGATCATTTGATTTCAATTATAGAACACCAAGCAACACAAATTGATCTCATACAAATTGAACATCAGAAAGCTGATGAACAATATCAACAACAAATAGGAGAACTTCAGAGGTAAATAAAAGAAGAATATTAATCATGTTTTAAGCAAAATCTTATCTTTAAATATTATAGTTCGTTACTTGCATCGCAATCTGAGCTCGATAATGAACGTCAACAACACATTTTAGCTGATCCATCATCTTTTTCAGCCACTGAAGACATAAGGTTGAATAAAATTCATCATCTTAAGGAATTTTAGTTTAAAACCTATTTTACTTTTTAGTCCAGCGATTATTGAAGAATATCAAACAAAAATTGATCGGCTTGTAAAAAGTCTTATTGAAAAAGAAGATGAACGAATATTACTTCGTGAACGTCTTAATGAAATTGAACTTGAATTAAGAAAAGTATTAGATGATCAGAACTCGACATTCAAGAAATATGAATTACTTGTACAAGAACGAGATTTACTTGTTCAACAACAAAAATTTCCGTCAATCGAAAGGTAGAATTTCCTAAACGTTTATCTTATTTATTTTAATTTGACGAAATTTAGTCAAAGAGAAATTGAAGAATTACAAGATGAATTAATAGAACTCAAAGAAATATATATACCATCAATTGATGAGTGAGTTATTTTCATTTCATCGAAATTACATAATGAAATTTATCTAGAATTAAATCATTGAAACAAACTATTCAACAACAATCAGAAAACCTTACAGATTTAAATGAAAAAAATCTTATTCTTTCATCTCAACTTGATACGCAAAAGTAAGGATCTTAGTCGAAGTTATTCAATTAAATGAATTTTTTTATCATATAGGAAAGAGAT